AGCAAGTCAGAGAAATCCATCCTGCGTTCAGCCCCAACCAAGGACCTCGGGTATTAATCTCTCCGAATGAATTTGGAGAATATGTCCCTTTTGTTACAAACGCGATCCGTTCTACACAGACGTCCGCACGAAATAGTTGAGGTTACGTGAACCTCCAGCACTGCACCTCCTCGTGAAGCACACCGATGTGTGTCCTTATGGAAACACTGCCGTTTCTTTACATATAAATACAGATAGATTGCGGTGAGGGTATGGATACATGTATTTAATAGAACGGGTAACACGAAGGGTGATTCTGGTGAGCGTGTGTGTAGCGCACGCGTGCCCCTTGGGTTACCCCAAAGCAGAGCCCGCACCTCCGCGCTGCGGGAATGGGGCTGCGGGGCCGCAGCGGGCCCAGCCGGGCCTCCCAGCTCTCCCGGCCTCTCGCCGGCAGCACAGCCCCGCACGGAGCCGGGCCGCTGCTTTTGGAGAAAAAAGCAAAGGTTTCTCCGCCGAAACGCCGCACCGCGGGGCTCGTTGCTGTGTTTCGAGGTGCGCGGCTCGCACGTGTGCGCGTCCCGCGGTGCGCGGCGCCCGGCCGCGGGGCTGCGAGCGTGCGCGTGTGGATCTGTGCGTTTTGGAACCGTGTCCAATAAACGGTACCCCGTCGCCCATGGGGATATCGCTCTCAAATTCCTTGCCCCCTGAGCTTCAGCGGTAACACGCACACCGCCTCCTCCGGCATCGGGTCACTCGGAACGCCCTGCCCCGTCCCGGCAGCCTTCTGATCCCGGGTGCTCTGTGCCCCTCCCGCTGTTGCCGTGTCCCCGCCGCCAGACCGCGGCTCCGCGCCGGACTCGGTCCTCGGGAGCGCCCCGCGCTCCCAGCGCGCAGTCGGCACCGGTCCGCTGAGGAGCATCGGAGCCTCTCGCAGAGAAGCAAACGCTCCGGACGTGGTAAAGCTGACCAAGTCGAGGCCATAGAGTAGCGTAGCCAGAAAGGCAGCGATTATAACTCTCGACTCTTCGTGCAGCACTACAAGCACTGCCACTTCCTTACGGCTAAAAAAAGGGAGATAAACAGTGGAGGCCAGCGTGGAGCTTGTGTCCCTGTTTGAAGCAGGGTCTGCTTTAAGGAAGCTAACTTTGTCTTATGAATGCCGGCCTCGCCTTTTAAAAAAATTCAAGCGATCATTCACAAGCCATTAAAGAGACCTGAAAGGCGACTCTTCGGGGGCAAATGGAAGAACCCGATTATTGTTTTGTATTTAACTTTCGGCTTCCGAACAGCACCAGTACTGCCGGGGGGTGCTGCGTGAGCACTGCTCTGGCTAGGACGGCACCCCTGCACCTCACACACCTCACGCAGCCCCTCCGGGGGCTCCCTGGGCGCTCTCAGCTTCCGCACGGCGGGGCCCAGCCTCTGGCTGCCGGCACGGCGAGCTCAGGAGCGAGGGGCCCGCAAACGAAAGCTGCCGAGCAATCAGACATTAAGGACAAGAGCAAAATAACGGCCCCCGTCGAGGCTGGAGAGCCGAGATTCGTTTTTCTCCCTGCAAACCTTCGGGAGGAGTTCTGCACAGGGAGCATCGCTGGGGAAAATTTGGCTTCAGCGAGGGAACCAGCACGGAGAAAGCCGCCCCGCAGCCTCTCCGTCTGCACGATGCCCCCCGCTTTGCCGGGCACCTCGGGGCGCTGCTCCCCTCCACATTGCCGAGCGGGCAGCACCGTCGTGCCGTGGGCTGGGGTTCAGAGCATTAATCGCCTCTAACGCAGAACACCTATGGGACCGCACCGTACCCCCAGACAGAAAACAACAGCAGCAGCAGCCGGACAACCGAACACCTCCTCGTGCCCAAAAGTTGGCCGAGCGCTCGGTCCCAAGCGCCGAGACACACACAGGCACAGATCAGCGCTCAGCGACCACTGCAGACCGCACACAAGTTCAAACCAACTCGCCCTACACATCTTTAAAACACCTCTCTTGCACCGCGCTTCCCTCGCAGCCCATCTCTCGGTGGGACAGGGCCGTCCCTATTCCCTATTCCCACCACTTTCTCCATTAGCCGAGCTCGAGTTTCTCTATCCGAGTCCCATCAGGGACGGCGAACAGCCAGCCGCTCTCTGGGCGCCTTAACCCCCATCTCCGTGCGGCCGTGCCCCGCGCACCGCGCTCCCCCGGGCAGCAGCGCTCCGTGCCGGGGTCCCAGCGGGGCCGAGCAGCTCCGGTGCCGCCGGGCCCTGCAAGGTGGCGCTCTCAGCATGGCGCGGCGCTCCGCCTTAGAATAAACGCTGAGGGAAGGGAAAGTTCGCGTCGAGCTGCGGGAGCGCTACTCCGAAAGCCCGCACCGAGAAGTTTTGTGCTAAAAGAGAACGGGTTGAGGGGAGAGGGGAGCTGACAAACCGCTCGGGAAGCTGTGGAAATGTTAGGGACAAAGAAAAGCGCTCGCGTGGGTTTGCCGCAGGACAGCCCGGAGCGCTGGAAGCCGCTGTACGGAGCCGAGAGCGGAGCTCCGCCGCCCCCCCACCCCCAACCCTCCAGCCCCCACCCCCCCCCGCGGTTCATATCCCCATTGAGTCGCCGTACACATAATATTTCTTTAAAGAAGCTGTTAAAGTGTCATCCTGGTCTACTGGAAGGTCAGTCCGTGCAATTCACTCTATGACATATCACAAGCGCTCGCAGCTTTAGCCAAGCTCATGATTTGTGTTGTCTGTTGATATGTTGTCTGCTTAATGGGGCGATCATGCAAGCTACAACCAGGAACAAAGCCCAACAGTTCCAACAACCGTAGCTAAGTTAGTGGAAGCAGTACAGCTTGCAAATCTATCAAACTAAACTGCAAGAAAGACAATCTGATTTAGAGAAAAGGCGTTCTGCTACAGTCATTAAGCACAAGTAATTTAGATTTTTTATATTGTCTTCTCATTTACAAATTTACTGTATCAACGCCAGCCAATGGAACGAATTTCTTAAGTAAATGAGAAATAAATAAAAGAGATAGAAAGATAATCAAATTACATAAAATAATTCTTACCCCCTAGATTTATTTTTTAGAAAGCTATTAACACTGGCAAATTTATAGTAATAATAATAACATAGCATAAGAAGTAATTGATTTAAATTAACATCACGTCTTAAGGAATATCAGCAAAAAAAAAAAAAAGAAGAAGAAGAAGAAAAGGGGAAAAAAAGGAAAAAAGGAGGAAAAAAAAAGAAAAAGAAACAAAAAGAAACAAAAACCAAAAATACACCCAACAACAACAACAACAACAACGGCCTTCGTGACACAGTGCTGCATCTCTTGGAGTGAAAGGCCCAAGGAAAGTCATGAATCCACTGCCTGAGAATTAGTTATGGTCATAAATGCTCTAAATTAAAATAGCAACCGAAATCTCCTCTGTTTTAAATCTCCTAATATATGTTATCCGAATTAATTTAATTTAGGGACCCGGTCCATGCAGATTCATGGGCAGTGCTGGAGTGGAGTGAAGCACTTCTCGTGTAACAATTCCCCACATTAATATTTATGTAGCATATGCAATCTATTTCTGTTATTTTTATGGTTGTTATTCTATGTCTGCAAAGGTCATTTAAATTATACTGCGGCCGAAAATTTGTTTCATAAATTTTGATATAAATACTAATTACACACTATAGTAATGCCAGCAGGGATCCTTTCATTTATCACATTTATATCACCTTCGCTGCTTTAGTGATGACATAATGGAAAGCAGTGAAAAACTGGGACAGTTTTATCCTAATATCCTAAAGCTAGTTGGAGTTGCAGCAGGTTGACTGAGCGAATAAGGATTCCTACCACCATTCGTGGGATTTAAGAATCTTTAATAAGGTACGAAATGTTACCAAACAGTTCTGTAAACTAAATTTTACATACCAATTCTTCTAGCCATAAATATTGAATATCTTGTAACATGTATAACCGGACCTTTACATGCGGATAAATATGGAAATTAGGATTTATATACATTATGTTCTTGTATTTGCCAAAAGCAACGGACAGATATAGTTTCTCTCTTTTT